AGCAGGGACTGGGATCCAATCCCCAGTACCAAAAGCTGTGTGAGCCCTGTCCCTGGGCGCACTGAGCCAGCATCCCAGTCTGGGCAAGGCAGTGCACGCCTGTAATCCCAGAGCTGGGGAGGCTGAAAACAGGAGGACCGCTACAAGGCTGAGCTGTGGAGTGAGACCCTGCACCAAATATATAATAATAATAATAGTAATAATAATAATAAAACAAGACCTGTTGCCATTAACTTTGCTAAAATCCTCTTCCTCCTTCTCCTTCTCTTCCTCCTCTTCCTCCGCTTCCTCGTTTTCTTCCTCTTCCTCCTCCTCACTTTGAACACACCCAGCAGTTCTGGAGTCTTCTTTCCTAAAGGTGTTCAGTTGTGCTGTCATGATGTCCTGAATCAATTCAAAATGTTTACCTGGCATGGTCATTCCGGTTTGGGGCAAGAGTCAGAGGTCACACAGAGCCAGACCCAGCAGGTGAGTAAGCAGGCAAGTAAAGCGGACGAGTAAGGCGGGCGAGGCCACACTGCAGCCCTCACAGCACTGTCTTTCCGTTGGACGGCATTTGGCGACAGCATCACCATATTTTTTTTATCACATCTCACAAAGACACAAAAGAGGACTTCTGGAACTACTTTAAAAAGTGGCAAGAAAACAGGAAATAGCCAGGCAAGATGGTGCACATCTGTAATCCCAGCACACGGGAGGCTGAGACAGGAGGATTGCCACAGGTTCAAGACCAGCCTAGGCTACATAATTTGAGAAAGAAAAGAGAGATAGACTGAAGAAGGAAGAAGGAAGAATATATTTTTGTCTCACATAAGTTAGTTGCATATGTTTTACAACTTCTCAATACTACCGCTGTTTACGAACACTTCTGTTTGCAAACAGGTTCACAGACACAGGCAGTTGGCAAAATTTTGCTTTCGTTCACAAACTCCACGCGGGGTGATGAACATGACCATCGTCCCCAGAACTGTGAGGAGCACTTGGTTTACAGACTTAACTCTGTGCATGATTCTAGTCATAAACCAAACTTGTCACAACCGAATCAAATTCCCCAATAAGCTCAGGGGACCTGTTGATTAGCTCAGTTGTTTAAGCGCCTGTTTATGCAAACCCAGTCAGGCAGAGGATACCATGGTTCGATCCCAGACCCACACTTAAGGCAGCCTGAACCAGCCCAAAAAAAAAAAAAAAATCCTTCCCAATAAGCTCAACACTGAGCCTAACTTGGCTGGGTGTGGTGGCACACACCTGTAATTCCAGAACTTGAGAGGCTGACACAGAAGGATCACCTGAAGTTTGTGGCCAGCATGGGCTACATAGTGAATTCAAGGCCAGCCTGAATTACACAGCAAGATCCTGTCTAGAAAAAAAAGAAGAAAAAAAAGATTGAACCTAACCATTGATTTGATTCAGTTTATAACCAGTTGGATTTGTGACCAGAATCAGAATGGAATTAAGATCATGTTCCGAGGTACCTCTGTCCTGGCTATGTCCTTCATATGACACATGTATGTTTCTCTCATTCTTGAAAGCTACAGATTCCATTTCTCACAGACATGGTATTTGGGGTTTTTTTTGTTGTTGTTGTTGTTTTTTAATTTTTTCTTTATTTGTGTGTGTGTGTGTGTGTGTGTGTGTGTGTGTGTGTGTGTGGCCAGCTCAGCCCACCAGGGGGCGGGGCTGGCTGGCATGTGGTGCTGGGGGATTGAACCGCGGTCCCTGTGCTTTGCCAAGCTTGTTCTAAGTAGGTGCTTTAGACCACTGAGCCATCTCACCAGCCCCCAGACATGGTATTTGTTAGCCAATCCCTGTTGGTGACTATCTAAGTACAGTCCCAAGTAAGGACTTTGCAATTCAATAGAAGAGGTATCAGTTCCACACATGACAAACCTGCCCTCCAAAGGACTTCTAATTATCATCTGAAGTGTCTGTCTGCAACCTTTTGCTGCTCCAAACACAACACGTCCTTGGGACACCTGCACATAGCCACACACCCAGGGAAAAGAACAGTCTCCAAAGAACTTGCCAGTGCAAGGTGTTCCCTAGATTGTCAGCCATGATGTCCTAGCCCTCAGAGCTTGGGTTTGGATTAGAGGAATTCCAAAGGCATAAGGGACCAACCAAACTGAGGCATCACGTCCAGCCCTAAAACAGCAACAATGTTCCAAAGCTGAGATGTTAGAGATTCCTGCGTTGTTTAGGAGAATGTGAGGCCAGTTTTCAAAGCTGGAGATATGGTAAGCAAGTAACACTGCTTTTTGTTTGTGTTTGTGTGGGTTTTTTAATGACAAGCTCCTACTGTATAGCTAAAGCAGGTCTTGAAGTCACTACGTTACCCAGCCTGGCATGGAACTTGAAGCAATCTTCCTGCCTCATCCTCCCAAGTGCTGGAATTACAGGTGTGCACCACCAGACCTGGCTATTTATTTATTTATTTTTAGCTAAGTGCTGCTTATGCAGATGTTTCACCTGTAAGGTTCTGGCTTCTTTAAGGGGAGAAGGAAGGAAGGTCTGGTTTTCTCACCCACCACCACCCACTACCAACGATGTGGTTGACCCAAACATTGGAGTGGAGACTCGTAGCTCCATGGGCAACAAATGGATTGAAGATCGCTCCCTAGTCCCAAGCAGACCCTCAGAAACCTTTGTCTGAGCCTCTGTTGGACCGGACCAAGAAGCTGCGCAGGGGAGCCCGCCCTGCCCAGCACCTCCTCAATGGATTTGCTCTTCCCTGATCCCTGGACCACAATGAGGAACACCTCGACCATCCGAGGTGAACCCTGGTCCTCACTCCAGTGGCCTGGAAGCACCAAGGTGTCTGAGGCGATTGCCTTTGGGGAAGCAGCCTTTTAGGACATGGAGCACAGAACCGGCACAAGTGAAGGGCCCGAGTATGGCGTCAGGACATGCATGGGAGGAAGGAAAGAGAAAGACTCCACTGCTCACTGTCGTGAGAAATCTCAGTGCAGGACAGGAACATTATTGGACTGACCCAGGGTCTTCCCACCTGGGGCGGATGTGCCCATGTTTCGGGCCACACAGCAATGAATCCAGGGCTCTGTACACACCTAACAGGCCTTTATTATAATGGATGAGGATCAAATTCATGACATGGCACCTGCTGGGCCAGCACTGAGCCACTGAGCTATTTCCTGGGCCCATCAGGCAGGAGGTCACTGTCCCAGTCGGCCCAGGCCCTCTGCTGCATGGGTGACGGCATCGGTGACAGTGTGGGTCACCTTCTCTGTGACTTCCTTCACCACTTTGTCCCCTGACTCCTGGGCTCTCTTGAAGGCATCAGCGATGGCTGTCAAGAAGAAAGAGGAAAGCTGTGTGTGTGGCTGTCACTATGCTACTGTCATGGGGTAGCCTGGGAGTGAGGCCTTGGGATAGGGCAGAACTGAGCTCAGATTGGTTCTATTCCTCACACTGACATCCTCCAGTTCTGACACCAGCTGTGTGGGTGACTGCGCAGTGACAGGAAGGAAGTGCCAGAGGAGCCACTTGGGCAAGGAAAAGGTTGCTTCCCCCTCAGCCTCTCTCCCTGCTCCAGCCCTGCTCACCCCAGGCCCAGCTTCCTCCCAACTTGCACTGGGACTGAAAGCTAGAGCCTCCCATGGCCAAGCAAGAGCTCCTGCCCTGCCTCCGTACCTTTCTCCCCGGCTTCCTTGGCGTGCTCTACCACCTCCTTCACCACCTCCTCCACGGCGTGGACTGGAACAAGGAAACTGTTCAGGGTGCAGCATGGCACAGCCCTCCCCTCCGACATGGGGGGCCCTGGATGTAGCCCCAGCAGGGACAGGGTAGCGTGGGAGAAGGGCATAGCGCCACCCATGCCTGAGGCCCAGAGGGTTGTGGAGCTGGGAGCAGCCTCCTTCCTCCCACAGGGCCTTGCACCAGGCTGGTGTCTGCCAGGTCACCACACACACAGGATGAGCAGGCCATGCCCAATCCCACGATTCCACCTCCCAGATGGGGACAACACGACAAGCCAGAGAGAGAATGAAGAGCACCATCTGCCCCAACCACGGAGCCAAACACGAGGAGTGGGCACACTCTGATCTCGGCACTTGGGAGAGTGGGCAGGAGGGTCACAAGGTTGAGCCCAGCTTGGGCAGCTTAACCATTTAGCAAGGTCAAGTCTCAAAGTAACAGTTTATAAAGGGGCTGGGATATGACTTAGTGTGAAGGCCAGGGCTCAACGCTCAATCCCAGTACTCTGGGGGGAGGGGAGGGGGAAGGGAGGGGAAGGGAAAAGGAGGGGAGGGGGAGAGCAGGGAGGGAAAGGGGAGGGGAGGGGAGAGGTGTCAGACATATCAGCTACAGTTCTGAGATGGGCAAGCTCCAGCACCAGGCTTGTGTCTGTGGGAGGAGTGCGTCACCTAAAGGAGCCGCCAGAACCCTGTTCTCAGAGACCCTGTTCTCAGAAGAGCTAGAGACCTTCTGGACTCTGAGCAGAATCAGAGCCGTTTCCAAATGAAGGGACCTTCTCAGCTTTTAGATGAAAGTTAAAAGCTGTCCTCCTCCATGGGAGCCCACTGCTGCCCCCGCTGGTGTCCCCAGAGCTCCTTGGGAGGAGCAGACCCCCCATGGCAGGCGAGCGCTGCCGCCCAGCGTCTGTGCCCGAGTCCACCTGTGCTATGGGGATCAGTTCCCCACCTCACCTGCCCCCTCGGTGGCCTTCTCGGTGCGGTGGGCCAAGCCCTCGGCCGCCAGCTTCCCCAAGCCTCCCAACATGGCGCCGCTGCTGCAGAGACAAGTAGGACTCCAGGCCCTGGTGGCTGCTGCTTTTATAGGCACTTCTGATGCGGGCTGTAGGCCCCGCCAAGCCCTGCCCCAGCCAAGAAGCAGCAGTGAGTCAGGCAGTGGGGAGGAGCCAGGGTGCGCCTCAGTGCTGGGCTCTGCCCTCTTGGGGGACCCCCACCCACCTGCCAGGAAGCCTGGGGCAGGACAGGTCAGCTCAGGTCCCGCTTCTTACCCAAGCCCTTGGGGCCACCTAGAGACAACGTTCTCACCAGCCCCAGGAGTGCAGGCTCCCCATGCCAGGCACTGGAGGGACCTGGTGGCAAGGACCAGGTTTGCCACATGCTGGTCACCTGGGATTCCATGGGGACCTGGGCAGCCACCCGAGGCTGGTACACATGGTATGGGCAACATCTGTCCTTCCCAAGCACCTCTGGGGTTCTGTGGGATCAGTGGTCCCTGTGGGTCCTGGAGAAATAGACTGGGGGCCCCCACCCTACCACTTGGGGCAGTCACCCTGGCCGGAGTCCCCAAAGGTGCCCCTGGTCCCTGGGCATCACATGGGAGGGCCAGGCTGCCTCCTGTCTCACTCAGGACTGCAGCGACGCCCAGCCATGTGCTGCATGCTACCTGCTTTAGTCATCAGTCCAACCACAGCCTCAGTTCCTTATTCATAAAATGGGGACACCCATGCCTTCCTGCTTGTGTCAGAGTAGCTGTGGAGAGAGCCCATCCAGCACATAGGCCCTGGGCCACTGGGGTCTAGGACTCTGGGGCTGAGGCCTGAGAGACCCCGCTGGCCAGGAATCAGGCACAATAGTCCTCAGTGGTCTTGTGCTCACTCCAGGTGGAGGTCTGAGCCACTGTCCCCAGGCAACTGGCTTTCCACCTCCATCAGAGCAGCCCTCCTGGGCCTAATTGATGTTTACCTGGCAGAGCAAGCCCCAGGGCCAGGGCTTGCCACCCTGCCCAGGGGGTAGAGGTGCTGTGGGTAGCAGCAGCTCTGGGTGACAGCCCAGCTGTCACGGATGCCCTTGGGCAGAGGTGGACGGAGGCCTCACTTGCTCTAATGACTCCTGCACATGTCACACATGGACATGTATGACCATGACCATGCAGGTCAGGCAGGGAATGTGACAAGCCCCACAGAGGACTCTGGGAACAGTATCTTGTCCCTGCCCTGTGGCTAGTGCTGCCTCCTCCTGTGAAACCATGCCCTCTTTAGCACAGCCCCTCTAGCAAGCCTCATGCCCACACAGCCCCTGGCAGAGGCACAGGTCCCAGATACCTAGAGGGCACATGGCCGGGGGCCAGGAGAGCTGTGTAGCCCAGGACCGGGCTTGGGCCCCCAGCTCTTCCCCTGTGGCACAACCCCGGCCCCCTTGGCCCCTAGCCCCAGCTGTGGCCAGCTCCCCATCCTCCAGCCCAGCCTGCATCCCCGTGAAGGCCCTTTGCATCCCACTTCTGGGGACCCCTACACCTGGAGGCCCTCCAACCAGAGCCTCCTGTCTGTGGGTAGATTCTGGTCCTGGGGCAGGGCTTGGCAGCACCTGCAGAGAGCAGCTTTACCTGCCTAGACCAGGCCCAATGTGACTCAGGCTCCGCCCTCCTCTGCCCCACCTTGGAAACACTCCACAGGGCACCCTAGGACACAGCCACTCAGGCCCAGTCCAAGTCAGAAGGTCGGGTCCAGCCACCCTGGGCAGGTGGGCACTGGCTGTGACGGGTGCTAGCTGCTTCTCCACAAGGAGATTGCACATTGACAGGCTTGGCATAGGACCAGCAGCTGGACTCATCCAGCCCAGAGAGCCAGCTTTTTAAATAGTAATTTGCCACCTTTGCAATTACTAATTCCTTTTTAAAATGTTTGTTCAGGTAGTGAACTACGCAGGGCTCTCTCATGGCTGAAGCCTGACAAGATCTTGCATGGCTTGAGCTGTCACTGTCACACACCTAAGTTTTGTGATGGCCCAGGGCTGAGTGTGTGGCGAGGATAGAGCCAGATGTGTCAGGCCCTGAGTTCCATCTCTGTACTACACTTTAGGCCAGGAGTGGTGGCACACACCTATAATCCCAGCACTCAGGAGGCAGAGGCAGGAGGATTGTTGCGAGTTCAAGACCACCCTCAGCTATAGGATGAACTTAAGTCCAGCCTGAACTGCATAGTGAGACCCTGTCTCAAAAAGACAAATAAATTAATAAATAATGTCAGGGAGATAGCGCAGTGGCACAAGCACCTGCCTGGCAAGTGCAAGGTCCTGAGTTCGGTTCCTGGTACAAAAAAAAAAAAAATCTCTGTACTACAGAGACAAACGGGTCAGGGACTTGGGGCCCGTGTTTTGGCTCCTTAATAGAGGGCTTTCCTAGGGTCCCATCCCCACAAAATTGCTATTAAAGTTTTGTGTAGCCCCTCCTGCCTCTGCTTCCTCCCACTTCTGTTTCAACACTCGCCGGGCCTGCGCTCTGGGTCTGTTCAGGATCCCGTGACCTGGGTCCGAGATTTGTGTTCTGGGTATTTTCTTTCATTTTGGCTTCAGTTTCGATCTTTTGAGACGGTCTCACTAAGTCGCCCAGCCTGGCCTCTGACTTGTGGCAATCCTCCTGCATCAGCCTCCCAAGTGCTGGGAGTATGGACACACACCATCACACCAGGCTCAAGTTGGAGGTGTGCGCTGTGCCCACAGATCCTGGCCACACTGACACCTCCTGGCCACAGCCTCTCTGATCCAGACTCCAGGAGCCATGGGGGGTGTGCCACCACAGGCACATGTGCCCAGCGTGTTGACCTTCACATGTCCGAGAGTGCCCGGCTGGCTCCTGGTGGGAATTAGAGGCCATGTTCTGAGTTCCTGGGGAAAGGATCATCCACCGGGTGAGGGAACCGCATGGTGATAGATATCACCCCTGGGCCAGCAGGGGCAGAAGGGGTGTCCAGTCCTCAGCAAACATGGCCCATGTGTCCTCCTTAAAGTAAGAGAAGGGACTGGCAAGATAGCTCAGTGGTCTCAAGCATCTGCTTAAGCAAGTTTAGGCAGGCACAGGGGACTGCAGTTCCATCCCAGCACCACATACCATGCCATCCCCACCCTCAGGGTGGGCTGAGCTGGCCAAAAAGTAAAATAAAATAAAGCAAGAGGAGAAGATAAGGCCCAACCCTAGCCACTCTCGTACCCTGCTTCAGAAACTTGGAGGCCAGCAGCTGAGGTGGCCTGAAGACCGGTGAGGCCTGCAGAATTGGGGTGAGAGCAGTGAGGACTCGGGTGAGGATGGCAGGAGATCTCCATGTGGTCAGCACACTCCGTGGGAGAAGAGGGCCCCTCAAGTGAGAGCTGTGGAACAGGAGTGGGAAGTGGACAGCGAGGGGGAGGGGTCCCTTGGAAGGGCTGGTGACAAACAGCACCTGCTGCCCAGGGGGGGAGGACTTGGGGTGCACCCTGCAAAAGCTGGTGGAGAATTTCCCAGAGCCAATGGGTTCCGAGGACCCGTACACCTATGGGAAGGAAGGGTACCCACCCCATGCCCAAGATTTTCACAGGGAACCCTAGAACCGGAAGGAAGTCCTGGCTCCATGATGGGAGACCCGAGTCCACATCTCCGGTTCTCGTGTGTCCACCACGTGACCCCGGGACCTCACACCACTGTGGGGCAGTGACTGGAGCTGAAAAGGGGACACCAACACACTCAGGTAGGTTACATCTTCATTTTCTTTTCTTTATTTATTTATTGGTGTCAGGAAACAAACTCAGGACCCTGTGCTTGCCAGGCAAGAGCTTATGCCACTGAGCTACATCCTCAGCCCAGATCTACATTTGTTTTATTTTATTTTGCTTCACTTGACTTGACTTGACTTTATTTTATTTTATTTATTTTATTTTATTTTACAGGGTCTCGCTATGCAGCTCAGGCTGGCCTTGAGCTCACTTTGTAGCCCAGGCTGGTCTCGAACTTGAAACAATCCTCCTGCCTCAGCCTCCCAAGTGCTGGGATTGCATGCATGTGCCACTACACCTCTCAATGGCTTTTTCAAGTTCAGAATCCCGCCCATAATCAGGCACTGTAGTTAATAACTATTTCTTCACCTCCTGCAGTTTCTTCAGCTTGTAGTAGTTTCCTAGCCCTTTTTCTTTCATGACTTTAACACTGTTTTTGTTTTGTTTTTCTTTTTTTATGATTTTTCAGACATACTTATTTTTTTTTTAATTTTATTTATTTATGTGTGTGTGTGTGTGTGTGTGTGTGTGTGTGTGTATGGCCAGCTCAGCCCACCAGGGGGCAGGGCGGGCTGGCATGTGGTGCTGGGGGATTGAACCGCGGTCCCCATGCTTTGCTAAGCTTGTTTTAAGTAGGTGCTTTAGACCACTGAGCCATCTCACCAGCCCCAAGACATAGTCTTACTATGGAGTTCAGGCTGGCCTTGAACTTTGTAGCTCAGGCTGGCAGTCCTCCTGCTTCGGCCTCCTGAGTGCCTGAACTGAGGCATGGCTACCATGTCCTGCTTGACCTTGACACTTTCAACTCCTCTTGGTCAGTATCCTTCCACATTGCTCGCTTTGGCTTCGTGGGTATTTTCCTGGGCGTGGTTCAGATCCTCCTGTATGCTTGGCAGGAGTGCTCACTCCGGACACCCCACTTAATTATGGGCTACACTTAGTTATGCACTTAATTACACCCTCCCATCAGGCAGCCGGATTCTGATATCCGCGCCAGGGATCTTGATGTCCTCCTTTGTTTTTTTTTTTTTTTTTTTTTTTTTTTTTGCAGAACCGGGGATTGAACTCAGACCCCTGCGCTTGCCAGGAAAGTGCTTATTCCACTGAGCCATCTCCCTGCCCCCCCCCCCCCCCCCGCCAGGGATCTTGAACTTGACAGTCAGGAAAGGCAGTTTCTGCTGGGCTACTTCGCTGAGGGTTTGCTGTTTTTCACCCTGAGCTTAATAAACATCTTGGGAGAATAGCATCGACAGTGTGCCAGTTTTGGCTTTTCATCAAAGTTTTTTTTCTATTTTTTTACTTGTTCTAAAATACACG